GAGAGAGAGAGAGAGAGAGAGAGAGAGAGAGAGAGAGAGAGAGAGAGAGAGAGAGAGAGAGAGAGAGGCGAGGGGAAGCTACTTATCTGCATGATAGGATGATGCGTTGTTCAGCGCTTGGTGACATGAACTCTGGCTTTGTATGATAAGACCATTCATTGGAGTTTTTGAGCTGCGCTAATCTGGTCTCACCATCTCTGGACTACGCTGTGGATTTTGTGTGTACTTGGACCGACAATACAAGTCCAGTGCACAGCCAAAAAACAAAGGGGAAAAAAAAAGAAAAGAAGAAGAAGGGAAAAAGAAGGAAACTTCCCTAACGCCATCATAGCCATCAGATACATTCTACGAGGTGCTTGTGAGACTGTGCCCTCAGTGAGGGCGTCTGTTCGACTTAGAAGTGAAGGACAAAAAAAAAACAGTTAAAAACACCCCTTATGCTGCGATCGCGGTCCGATACAGGAAGACACAGTACTAGTTGAATATGAGGCAGTCTGCTGCCCTGCGTATTGCACACCCTGCCTCACTGGCAGGGCGCTATATAAAACTAGGCTGTTTCCCCGGGCGCCTGGGCACCCAACTTCTGCCCGGGTACACGCCCGGGTGCCCGGCCGGGCATGACCCCCGGGCAGCCCATGCGTCCAAAAAAAAAAAAAAAAAACCTAAAAAAATTCCGGAAAAAAAACATGTTGTGTAGGATTGAAATAGAAACGCCTTTTGCTGCGGGTCACACTATAATTCCTCACAGAATCGGAGATAAAAAAGAAAATAACCGAATCACACAAAGGCACCCCCCTTTAGACCCCATTAGCCCCTTTAAAACCAATTTATACCCCCCTCCCCCCCCTTGACAGCCAACTCGCAAAAAACGAAATGAGCCCGGATATGGAGTCCTCTGGGAGAGCGCAGAAAACCAAAAAAAAAAAGATCTTTTTTTTTTTTTGTTCTTTGCACGCCCGGGTGCCCGGCCGGGCAGGACCGGCCGGGCGTGAGAATCTTCCTAGAAAAAAAAAACAAAAAACACAAAAAAACAAAAAACAGTATTCACGTTCCACACATACTGGTCAAATACATCCTATGAGGCGCTACTGAGACTGTGCCCTCAGTGAGGGCGCAGAGTAATGAAAAAAAAAAAAATCCCCTATGCTGTGATCGCGGTCCGATACAGGACCCTACAGTACAAGTGTGAGTAAGAGGTGAGTGAGGCAGTTTGTTGCCCCACGTGGAATCCGCCCTGCCGCTCTGGCAGGGCACCACACGAAAGCAAGCAGAACAAAAGAAAAAACAAAAACAGAAGCAATCACGTTCCACACATACTGGCCAGATGCATTCCTCAAAGCACTGGTGTCACTTCCACCTCCATGAGGTCCTTCCCCGACGTCGCTGGATTCAAAGTGCTTGCTTTTTTTCTTTTTTTTTTCAACGCGGGCCTGCAATGTCCTGTTCTTTTTTTTTTCTTTCTTTCTTGCCGAGCCTCCACGGGAGCGCTGAAGTTTGTGGTATATCCTTGTTAATTTGGACCATTTCTCGATTTATGCGTGTCATCCTTGAAAGCCCAGGGGCCATGCTAATCTTCATTCTCTGTATCGTTCCAGTTTTAACGGATGTCCCGAAGGACAATTTGTGGTATATCCTATTTTCCCGCTTTTCCCAACACTGAGAAAGGTAGTGATACTAGTGGTGGTGTAAGTGGTGCAGACCTTGGGGCCCTTTGGGGGGTATGCATGTTGCCGCTGATTATCCAAATGGACCTTCCTCCCTCGTGGACATACCTCCACGTCTGAAGACATCATGTGTTGCACGCCTCCAAATTGTTGTCCTACACAGCATCAAAACTCACAAGCAGGAGGAATATGCCTCCTCCCAGCATGGATGGATGTAGAACATTGACAGTATAACTCACAGTCAGGAGGAATATGCATCCTCCCACAATGGATGGATATGGAACATCGGAGCATAGGTTGGTGCGACAACGAGGGGGAAGAGACAGCATCGTTTCCAGGGTCGACTTCAAATACTACCTTGATGACACAGACAACGAATCAACTGATCACACTGAGCTAATGTGAACGGCACCTCAAGTAGTTGCCCAACATGAGAGGCAGCTTCGGGAAAGTAAACGCAGCAACTTAAATATTTATTACACGCTTATGTCGCTTAGCATATACTTACTCTTTTTTTTTTGGCGCGAGTATGCAGCAATGTATTTATTCGCTAGCAGCCTAGCATATACTTAGTCTTTTTTTTTGGCGCGAATAGATCGATAATTTCTGAAAATTGGGTCAAGCAACCCTTACATGAGTACCCACACCACGCCTCCCCTTGTGGTTTGTCGACCCAGCGCCAGGGCTAAGATTGTCAAACTCTTCAGAGGGTAAAATCATCTTCACCATAACCTGGGTGCTGATTGCAGCCGTTGATCAGCACCATAACCATCTTCACCATAACCTGTGGATTGTCTACGCAGCGGCAGGGCTAAGATCTTCAGCCGTTGATCTTCACCAGACGAATAGATTGCAGCCGTTGATCAGGGATTTCTGAGAGTTGTGTTAGCATTTCCACTTCAGATACAGAGTATTACAGACACTTAAAATCTTTGCCATTGTATTCTCAAGTAGCCAGATCCGCTGAAACTTCCTCTTGATGGTGCTGACCTCTTTCGTCTGCTTTGGCTTTTAATCAGTTTTTTGTCTGTCTCCATTTGCCTCTGATTTCTGACTCAATGAGGTCTCATGTTGCTGTCCAAACCTTGTTTTTTGGGTTTCTGGGTGCAGCAATTGATTTAAACTTTTGCAATTTTCAGACTTCGTGCTGTACGTAGTACGTACTGAATTTAGAGTTCAGTGCACTTGTCCACTTTCTGTTATGTTCATTTTCAGTGCAAATGCTGTAATGCCACTACCTCTTTTCCGTAGGAAAGCTCGTAATGTTCTCAAAAGACTTCAAAGTTCGAACTGAGGGGGGAATTGCGGGGACTTGAACCCGCGACCTGACGCTCAGAGTCTGTGTTTGCTGTATTTCATCAAGTGCTTGTTGTTCTTGTTAGAGTCTGGAACCAAATGAAGTAAGTAAGTTTTGTTTTTCTTTACTGTTGTGAAGCTAGCGAGTTTCGAACCCAGGACCTGCGCGCAGAGTCTGTGTTGTCCTGGCATAGTGGTAGGACCTTTTTGGAAGGTGGTTCTAGGCTTTTCTTTGTGGAGGGAGGCACTGTAGGGTCCAGGCAAGTAGCAGCTCCTCAAAAGTGACGAGTTGGGGCAAAAGCAAAACCCTCGTTCGAAAACCGTTGTCATATTTTTGCTTGTTGGTGAACTGGAAGTGGGCTGCGTTCAGCACTGATTGAGGGGGAAGAGAGAGAGAGAGAGAGAGAGAGAGAGAGAGAGAGAGAGANGAGAGAGAGAGAGAGAGAGAGAGAGAGAGAGAGAGAGAGAGAGAGAGAGAGAGAGAGAGTGCAGCTATGGCCAGTGAGTACTTACTGTTCATTGGAAAGTTTCTTGAGCCGATTGTTGTATGCTGCTCAGGGAGGCAGGCCACTCAATGCTACATCAGCTTTTTCTGGTTTCATCAACCATTTTGGGTGTGATTGTTCAATTCCGATATTCTCTGGAGTTGCAATCAAGTGTGTAAGTGAGATGATGGATGGAAGTACTTGTGATTCCGGAAATTCGTAATATGTATACATATGTTTAACTATGTATATACGTATATATATGTGGCAAGCCTTGTACGTGAGAGGCACAGTAAAGGAGTGAAAAGAAGAATGATAAAATTGAATGGTTTCAGTGTGCCCTTCATGTTTTCTTGGGTATTTTCATTGTTTGTTTCGCAAAGCGCGCTCTTTTAGTTTATAAATATGTGACGATATGCCCCTCGTTTGTTGTCCTCTTCTCCGTCTTTGCCTGCGGTCTACCGGGAAGCTCTGTTTGATGATATACATAGGTCGGTGAAACTCCGACGAAACAGTTTGTCACAGCCCCTCGTTAATAATGACATTTGTTGATATGCCACTGATTGTTGTTGTCCTCTTCTCTCTCTCTGCCTACGGTTTACCGGGCAGCTCTGTTCGACAATACACATATATATCGTCACAAATAGAACTGCCCGGTAAACCGTAGGCAGAGAGAGAATATATATACATGATAGCTGGCGTTCGGCCGGGGACGAACGGCCGAACCCGAACGCCTGAACTTTCGGGCCCCCCTGTAGACGCGTTCGGCCGTTCAGGCTGAATGCGGACCCAAAAAAAAAAAAAAAAAAATCCAAAAAATCCAAAAAATGATAAAATCTGAAAAAAAAAATGTTATGTGGAAAAATAAGCTGAACAACATTTGCCTCAGCGTTACATCCAAATTCCGTACCAAATATGAAATAAAAATAAAATACGGAAAACAAATAATAATAATAAAAATAAGATAAAATGAAAAGAGAATTAAAATTAGTGAGTGGGCGAGCACATTTTTGACACCGCCATCTTTGGAGTTTTTTTTTTTTTTAGGGTTAGCCAAATGCCCTGAAAATTTATAGATGATAGTATCATGATACAACTAAAAAACATTTCAAAAAATAATATTTTTTTTTAGGCCCCGAAATAAAGTGGAAACAAAAAGTGAAAAGAGAAAAAAAACAAAATGGTGAGTGGGCGAGAACGTTTTAGTCTTTTGACACTACCAGCTTTGACAATTTTTAATTTTTTTGGCTTAGCAAAATGCCTTCAATTTTTTTAGGCATGTACCTCACATCATAAAGAACTCAGGAAAAAAAACGAAAAAAAAAAAAAAAAATTTAGGCCCCGAAATAATTTTTGGCGGGGGCCGAATCCCTTCCGGTTCGGACCCCGAGCGGGACCTGAACGCCCGAACGTTCGGGGCTCGGCCCGGGGGCCCACGAACGTTCGGCCCAGTAACCCTGTATATATATATTGTCACATAACTAGGAACTAAAGGGGTGCACTTTGCGAAACAAATGGCAAAAAATAAAAATAAAAAACAAGACAAACATGAAGGGCACACTGAAACCATGCATTTTTCTCATTCTTCTTCTAACTCCCCCTTCACCGAGCCTCTCACGTACAAGGCTCGCCATGTTGATGAAGTTGAGCGCGAGCTGCCCCCATCCCCGTGTACCATAACGGCCCACTTGTACGCTGTGAGAAAGAGGCAGAGTGAAAGGGGGAGGGGATAAACACAGGTTCGAGAGATGGAGAGCAGACAAACAAATAACGAAGAAGGGAAAGTAAGGGAAAGTATGGAGTGTGGAGTGAAGATGAAGGCAAAAGAGGATAACAAATAACGATAAAGGGAAAGTAAGGGAAAGTACGGAGTGTGGAGTGAAGATGAAGGCAAAAGAGGATAAGAAAAGGCTCAAGAATGAGTCTGTCCTTGATGACAGAGAGTACATACATTGTAAGGATGACGTGGATGAACACGTGGAAGACCTAGCTGAGCATTCTCAGTGCAACAATTGCCACGACGGCTGGCATTGAGTATGCCCACCATACACCCCCGACAAATGGCATGTTGATTGCAGGCCAAAATGAAGGAAGAACGGTTACCACAAAAGACCACGCATTCAGTATAGCGCTCATTTTCGCAAAAAATGGACATATAGTGTCCGGATGCGGAGGGTGCCTGCAGTCAGGAACGCGGGGACAGTCCTCTGCACACATGGATGCAGAAACCATGTCATTGTAGTAATTGTGACCGAGACGATGGCGGCTACAGCCGAGTGTAACAGTTTTTGTGGTTGTGCAAAGGAGAAGGTCGCAGAGTGTTGGTACATTGTCTTGCTGCAGCACGGGCCCAGAGGAATGATCTTCGACATAAAAGAGATTGATATATACCTGCTGACGAGTCGGTGGGACTCCGACGAAACAGTTTGTCACAGTCCCTCGTTTGTTGTCCTCTTCTCCCTTTCTGCCTACGGTTTAGCGGGCAGTTCTATTTGACGATATATATTGTCAAATAAAACTGCCCGGTAAACCGTAGGCAGAGAGGGAGAAGAGGACAACAAACGAGGGGCTGTGACAAACTGTTTCGTCGGAGTTTCACCAACTCATATAGCCTATCTTCTCTACTATTTCCCTGTTTTTTACTTAAAACCTTTTACGCGATTATTGTCACTTCGCCCGTCAAATAGAACTGCCCGGTAAACCGTAGGCAGAGAGGGAGAAGAGGACAACAAACGAGGGGCTGTGACAAACTGTTTCATCGGAGTCTCACCGACTCGTCAGGAGGCTGAACCCTCAACAGTCTGCAAAATCCCCTGAATGAGTTCAGCCTCCTGATGAGTCGGTGACGAAACAGTTTGTCACAGCCCCTCGTTTCTTGTCCTCTTCTCCCTCTCTGCTTACCGTTTACCGGGCAGTTCTGTTTAATGATATAGATATGTAATACATACATATATGTGTTTGATGATATATATACATATATATATCAACATGCCATTTGTTGGGGGTGTATGGTGGGCATGCTCAATGCCAGCCATCAGGGCAATTGTTGTACTGAGAATGCTCAGCTAGGTCTTCCATGTGTTCATCTCCCTAATCCTTACAACATATGTCCTCTCTGTCGTCAAGGACAAACTCATTCTTGAACCATTTCTTATCCTCTCCTGTGCCTTCATCTTCATTCCACACTCTGCACTTTCCCTTTGTTATTCTTTGTTTGTCTTCTTTCCATTTCTTCCCTGTGCTTATCCACTCACCCTTTACTCTGCCTCTTTCTCACAGCGTACAAGTGGGCCGCTTTGGCACACGGGGATGCGGGCAGCACGCACTCTAACTTCATCAACGTGCTGAGCCTTGTATGTGAGAGGCACGGTGAAGGGGGAGTTGAAGAAGAATGAGAAAAATGAATGGTTTCAGTGTGCCCCTCGTGTTGGTCTTGTCTTTTTTTTTTTTTTTTAACAGTTTGTTTTGCAAAGTGCGCTCTTTTAGTTTAGCCTCCTGATGAGTCGGTGAAACTCTGACGAAACAGTTTGTCACAGCCCCTCGTTTGTTGTCCTGTTCTCCCTCTCTGCCTACGGTTTACCGGGCAGCTCTGTTTGATGATATATATCCTCATCCGGACACTATATGTCCATTTTGTGGCCACGGACGCTATGCTGAATGCATGCTCTTTTGTGGGGGGCGTTCTTCCTTTATTCTGGCCTGCAATAGACATGCTATTTGTCAGG